CCCCTCCTCATCCTCGCAGCCCTCTGCTGGACTCTCTCCAGTAGCTCCTCATCTTTCTTGAACTGGGGAGCCCAGCACCAGCATCTCCTGGCCGAGTACCCCCCGCCAAGCCTCGGGCAGCTCTGGGGAGCATCTGGCACTGGCAGAAGGTGGCTTGCGCCAGCAAATGCTCTGAGAAGTCCCCGAGTTGGTGTAAATTGGTGCATTTACCTGATGTGATGAGCTAAGGCGTGGAGCCAAGCGCTTCTTCCCCCCTGGTTTGCCGCTCCTAGAGATGCGCTGACTCATTCGAGCCGCCTCGCCCTGCGTGTAACGGGCTGTGCCTTTAAGACAGAGCGAGCACCCACTGTTTTGCTTATTGCTTCTGATTTATTGAACCAAATAGTTTTTGCAGCAATAGGAGCTGCTTGGTAACCAGTAGACCCTCCCGGATGCGCCAGTCTGCAGCAGAGCAGGGGCTGGGAGGCTGCGGCTCACGATGCTCTCTGCTCCCCAGGCCACGTGCTCAGCATGCCCCACGACGACTCCAAGACCTGCGAGCGGCTCTTCGGGCCCCTCGGCAAGCACCATATGATGGCTCCTCTTTTCATCCACTTGAACAAGACCCAGCCCTGGTCCCCTTGCAGCGCCATGTACCTCACCGAGTTCCTGGATGGAGGGCACGGTGAGGACCCTCATCGTTCAAAAAAGCCTTTTCCTTAATCACTCGGGCTCTTTGCGATGCCTGGAGGGGTGCGTGGGATGAAAGGGGGTCAAACCGGACCACAGAGGTTTGGGGTCCCCTGCTTGGTGTAATCTGTGGCGTCAAGCCCTGATGTGTCCCCAGCCTAATTCTTGCTCCTTGCCCAGGCGACTGCTTGCTCGATGCCCCGGCCCCCCCCCTCGCCCTGCCCGCCGAGCTGCCCGGCCGAGGAGCCCTGTACAGCCTGGACCAGCAATGCCAGCAGATCTTCGGCAAGGGCTTCCAGCACTGCCCCAACACCACGGAGGAGGACATCTGCGCCCAGCTCTGGTGCAGGACCGGCAGCGGGGAGCCCCTTTGCCACACCAAGAACGGCAGCTTGCCGTGGGCCGACGGTACCCCCTGCCAAGCCGGCGGGCGGGGCTGGGGCGGGCGCTGGCTGCCCCG